TCAAATTGGCTTATAAGCACTTTTTGGCTTATCTACGCGTTTGGTAAAATTAAAAGTGCTTATAAGTTAAATGCTTATAAGCCAAAAACCATAAGTTGGTCTCCCCCAACTTATCAAATTTCAACTTATAAGCACTTTAGGTTTGACCAAAATATTTACTATTTTATCCCTAAAATAATTCTTTTTAAACAAAACTCTTCGTATACCCAATTCTTCAGCCGTTTATTATTAATTTCAGCACTTTTATCCAAACATGTAACTGCTTATTTTTTAAATCAGCTTCAGCACTTAAAAGTACTTTTCAGCACCTAATACTTATCAGCTACTTAAATCAGCTAAGCCAAACGCGCTCTTATTCCATTATTGAGTTAGTACACTAGTTTAGTTTTAAGATTGTGAGGTTTAATGAGGCTTTTTTCTTTTTCTAATATAATATCTACTTTGCATTACTCCCTCTGTTTTAATTTATGTGAACATGTTTGACTGGACACGGAATTTAAGAAAAAATGAAGACTTTTGGAATTTGTGGTCCTAAACAAGTCAAAAATGGGCCCAGAGTATTTGTATGGTTATAAAAACCTCTCATTAAGGGTAGAATTGTAAGTTTAAGCTAAATTGTTACCAAATTTAAAAAAGGGTCATTCTTTTTGGAACGGACCAAAAAGGAAATAAATTCACATAAACTCGAACGGAAGGAGTATTATTTAAGCATTGTCCTGCATATATATACTCCTAAATTTTAGGAACTCATCAACGTAATTAAATACATACAATCTAATAAAAAAATTCATCAAAATATTGTTGGATGACACCACTTGAAACAACGTGTGTACGAAATATAATGTATTGTTCTTCATCCGGCCTCTAATGAATTTGCGGAAAATGTCTACATAATTGATTATTTATAAGGTTTATTACAGATAAATCTTTATGATATATATTAATATAACCATATATAAACAATGACTAATATGTTATAATATGTTAATCTATACTAATTATAAAACTTTACTCTACCATTACATATAATTTAATTAATTCGTATTACTAACTCGAACAATTCTCATGCACAACAATTTGTTTAGGTATATGTATCTTTATTCAATGGCGGATGGAGAACATGAGTATCAGTTTCATAATGAACCCAACGTTCTCAATACAAAACATAGAAATATATGTAAAAAATTACTAAAATTTTTAAAAATAATTGATTTTGATTCCATAATTCTAAATATGTAATGAGTTAAGGCCCGTTTGGCCGTAAAAAAAATTCACTTTTTTCACTGAGGTTTGTCTCGTCTAATCGAGATTTACCTAAACTCAGTTGGACTCTAAACCACCATCAGCAAGGCTGACACAAGCAACGCCGGCTGAAGGGTAAAGCAGCCCAAGCAGTGGCTTTAGGCCCCCAAATTTGGGGAGCCCCATTTTTTATTGACACAAATTTTATGAATTATTTTTTATATAAAAAAATTGATTATCTTAAAGTTAAAAGGTATAACTTTTTTTACAAAAAGGAAAAAAAAAATTATTTGTTACTGGTATTGACCCTTGAGTTTGAATAACCCGAAGCATATAAAAATATTGACTTAACCTTGATTAAAACACAATAGTCACTCTGACATGATAATTTAGGCTTATTTTTTAAATTATATAGAATTAAAGAAAATATTATAAGTATAAGATAAAACTCTAATTGATATACTTAATAAGATAACATGACTTGATTTTTTTTAATGCTTATATTCCTTATAGAATAAAATATACTATAATAATTGCATCCGGGAAAGAAGTTTTACCAAATTAAAATTGATAAAATCTTGTATATGATCAACAGTGTCTCACGAGAAGCTAACTGAATCAAATTAGCAGTATTATCAGTTGAAAAAGAATTATTAAAATAACTCGATTAAAGAAAATTATTAATAATTTTTCATCTAATTAAGTTAGAAAAATATACTTCAAATAAAAATATATAATTTTTGTAAAAAAAAATTAAGGCCTATTATCAAATTTTTGCTTTAGGCCACCAACAATGTTGAGCCGCCCCTGGACACAAGAGGGGGCATTTGCATCTATACGCGCTTTTTGGGTCACGTTTTAACTTGTGTCCGCTTTGCAAAAATATATTGCAAGCGTACCCACTTTTTCGCGTAACTTCAGCATACGGGACTGAAGTAGCAAAGGCAATCACGCAAAACATCAGCATTCTAGTAGACGGGACTGAAGTAGCAAGTGTGCTGAACCAAGTGTGCTGAAGTTTTTGTTTGTAATTGCTGAACTTAAGCATAGTAGCTGAAGTTTTGTTCTCTATTTGCTGATATTTTTGTTTGTAATTGCTGAAATTTTTGTTTTTGTAACTGGCGAACTTCAGCTTTAGAGCTGAAGTTTTTGTTTTGTAAATGGCGAACTTCAGCTCTAGAGCTGAAGTTTTTGTTTAACTTCAGCTCTAGAGTCTTCTTCCCTTCATAATGATACTGTCACGAAAACATGAAAATAGCTGCTTTACTGTTACATAAAGCATTCAATAGCAAGGATACCTCATCTTATAACTGTCTAATCGGACCAATTATTTAGATGATTAGTTCAACAACTAAACCATCCAAAGGATCTGTTAATCAATATTTGATAAAGCAAGAAACTTTTTAATAATTTATATAAACCAATATGATGTTGCTAGTGCCATGCATTATCAAATAAGATATGTAGCTTCGTCATTTAACATATCATCTATTGCCACCATTCAATCAAGCAACAAGACTTCGATATTCTTCGGAGAGGCATTTATGATGCGAAATTGCACTGTATATTCCTATTTTTTCTTATTTATTTCTTCTGCACTGACAGAAATACAATTTGTGCAGTGCGACTTCAGAAAGAGATTGAGGGCGGATATAATTTTGAGGAGGAGAAGGAAGAGGAGAAATGGGATTGAAGTTGTTTAAAAAGTGGATACAAGTTAAAACTTTTTTTAAAAAAAAATAGGTATAGGTTAAATGGGGGCGACCAAATAGGGCGCCTCGTGCAATTTTTACCACAAGAGTGACCCTGATACCATATGTAACAGCCCAGTCCGCTAGTGATATTATCCGTTTTGGGCCTAGGCCCTCACGGGTTTAAAACACATCACTAGGGTTTAAGACTTGTTAACTTATATACCCAGCATTCCTCTTGTGTTTTGCCGATATGGGACTCTGTCTAAAATCTGAGTGCTATAGTAGTGTGTACGAGTTTCGATAGAACCTAAGAGCTTTGGCCCAAATCATGTATTTCGTCAAAAAAAAATCTACTTAATATGTATTAAAAAATTCATAACTAAGTAAGCCGTCTTTTATAAAATCAAGATTCAAGTCATATCTAGTGTAGCGGTTATGGTTCAACTGAGCTCATAGCTTTCGCTCAAATATTATATTTTTGCTTAAAAAGTTATTAAATATATATAAATAGTACATTTTGAACTCATTAAATTAGATGAGATGTGATAGAATTGCAAATCTTAACTCATAAAGTTTAAATCCTGAATTCGCTTACCTAAGAACTCATAAACTTAAAATTATAGCTCCGCCTACAATCATCAATCGTAAAGAAACGCTAAGGCCAATCACATGATTCTCGGATGGAGTGGGTCATGATGAGTGGAAAGTCCTATTCTCATATAGCTCTCTGCCCCATTAATCAATCGTCATAGTCCTACGACTAAAAAAACACGGAATTAATTCAGAGAATAGTTTCTTCTCTGTGTGACAAACGTGAGTACAATTAATATACTGCATTTAATCACAAACTTGGGATAGAGTATACAGAAAGGCAGACAGGTTAGGATCCCACCATGTTGTCGTGTCATATATCGGAAATTTCCCATGTCAAAATCTGCATTTAAATCACATCATGAGCTGTTATAATCATGAAAATATATATTTATTCCCTTTAATCTATAGATAGACTATGGTCCCTTGTAAATTTAATAATCCGAAGGAAATAGCACTGGAATTTTCTTATTTTGACTAACAGACAAGAAGCTCAGATGTTATCTTTAAGAGAAATTCTAAAATATTGAGACCTAGAATAGAGAAAGATGCAAAGATTATGGTTACTCTTTCCTTGTCATAGCAGGGCGCATAAAGGGCAGAGGCTTTTTATTCGTACGCTTCATTCATCCAAAATAAATTTAGCATATATCACCACTAGAAATTCGATCAAAACTGGGCAAATCGATCGAAGTCGGTCGGTCAAAAATCCGAACATAAAACCGATCAAAGTCGGTCGGTATTTTAAAATATTTTATTTTTTCAATTTTTTTTTACGAAACCGGCCAACTTCGGTCGGATTTTTTTTTTTTGCTCAAAAATACGGGAAACTATTTTGTGTCCCGCAAAATTTATTTTTTAAGAAACCGACTCATATAAAATAATTAAAATTAATATTCAAAAAATCGATCAAAATCAGTCGGTTATTTTAGTCGGTCCGATTTCAGTCATATTGAAGTGAGAAATGTAGCTTCAAGTAGTTAGGGGTCTGTTTAGCAATATAGAAAAGTTAGAGGGGTCAATTAGTTCAGTTTGTAAGAGTTGGTTATAAGAAGTACTATTAGTGCAAATGTAACTAACACAATCCATTTCTAATACACGCTCATTTTCTTCGTCTCTTCTTCGTCTCTTCATCTCTCAGATTCCATGCCCTAGATGACTATGGTGATTGTCAGATCTCCATGCTGTTAGATCTGTGTAGCTCAAAGCTCACTAGTTAACGTGGTATCAGAGCGGCGCTCTTGAAATTAGAGTGTTCTCCAACGAAATTCACGACGAGATTCCGACGAATTGACAAAGCTACTGGAAAATTGATAGCAACGAGATTCAAAATCTGTATCAATGGCAGGAAACGAAGTAACACAGCTGGAACACAACCATCCGTTGTTTCTCCAGGCATCAAATGCTCTGGGACTAGTTCTAGTGCCAATTAAGCTCAGAGGACCAGAAAACTATGCACTGTGAAGCAGGGCAATGAAGCTAGCCCTTAGGGGAAAGAGCAAGCTTGGATTTGTAGACGGAAGTTGTGCGAAAAGCATGTATCGAGGTTAGTTAGCAGAGCAATGGGAAAAGTGTAATGCGATTGTGTTGTCGTGAATAGGTAGTACAGTTGCAAATGAGTTAATTCTGATTATCATGTTTGCATCGAGTGCAAAGAAGGTGTGGAATGACTTCAAAAGGAGGTTTGACAGATGTAGTCTAACCAGGATCTATTATTTGTGGTCAAAGATTGCGTCAATGAGACAAGGTACAGATTCCGTGACCACGTACTACTTAAAAATGAATGATTTGTGGAGTGAATTAGACATATTAGCACCAAAACAAGGTTGTGATTATGAAGAATCTAGACCTTCTCTTGAACATTTATCACAACAGCGTCTGTTACAATTTCTTATGGGTCTAAATGAGAGTTACAGTAATGTAAGAAGTAATGTATTAATGAAGAGACCTGTAGTCAGTATAAATGAAGCCTATGCTATAGTGACTCAGGAAGAAAGTCAAAGGGCTTTAGGAGCATTTGATGTGAACAATGATCCAATGACTATGATGGCAGGGAGGCCACGGTACAACAAATCTAAGAAAATTGGAATAATATGTGAACATTGTGGTTATAAAGGTCACCTAAAGAAAAATTGCTATAAAATAGTGGGATATCCAACAGATTTTAAGAGCAAGAAGAAGACTCAAGTTGTAGGTGGAGGTAGAACATTTGTTAACAATGCAAATGCAGAAGATACCAGCAATTCTGAGGCTCAACCTCATGGACATTACCTGACAAAGGAGCAGTACGAGCAACTGATAGGATTGCTGAATAAACCTCCAGGTGCAAAATGTTTCGCAAACATAGCAGGTATTGTTTCATTGATGTCCGATGCCACAGAACATGATTGGATAGTAGATACAGGTGCTACTCATCATATAACATGTAATAAAGATTTGCTAGATACTCTTAAAATCATAGATGGATATAGAAGTGTACAGTTGCCAACAGGGAAAACTTCAAACATCACACATACAGGAAATGCAAAGATTCTAGGAAACCAGAAAGTGAATAATGTTCTCTATGTGCCAAATTTTAAGCTTTATTTTCTATCAGTGTCAAAGCTCACCAAAGACCTCAGCTATTTAGTTGCCTTTTTCCCTGACTTCTGTGTATTGCAGAGGATTTACAGTGGCAAGGTATTGGGAATTGGTAGAGAACATGAAAGATTGTATATAATAAAGTCAAGGGAAGCAGAAAACAAGGCATTGGTGGCAGGAACAATTACAAAGAAAAATGCAGAAACTGTCTTGCGGAATTACAGAATGGGACATGCTCAAATGAGGTCTTTGTAGCATTTGTCAGCATTAAAGAATAAGATCAGTAGTATAAAAACAGAAAATTGTGATATATGTCCTCTTGCAAAACAATGTAGGCTACAGTTTCCAACTAGTGTTTCAAATTCAACTGTTGTCTTTCAACTTCTTCATTTAGATGTTTGGGGACCATACAAAGTTCCAACTTGTGGCAGGAAACAGTATGTTGTTACAATAGTAGATGATTACAGTAGATATACATGAGCATGTCTAATACAGTCAAAGTGTGAAGTGTGTGTGGTTTTGAAAAAAATTCTGTTGATAATAAACAATCATTTTGGTGCCAATATCAAGTACTTAATATCTGACAATGGAACAGAGTTTTGCAATACAAAATGTGATAGTTTGTTATCTTCTTATGGCATTAGTCACCAAACTAGTTGCCCCTATACACCACAACAAAATGGAATTGTAGAAATAAAGCATAGGCACATTCTGGAGGTTGCAAGAGCTTTGAAATTTCAAAGTGGAGTTCCTATAAGATTCTGGGGAAATTGTGTCAAAACTGTAGTCTATGTTATCAATAGACTACCTACAACAGTCCTGAAAGGAAGAACTCCATATGAACTGTTGTATGGCAAGGAACTTAAGATAGATCACTCAAGAGTATTTGGTTATCAATGCCATTTCACAACCTTGCCCAAGGGTGACAAGGTTGCACCAAAATCTAGGAAGACGGTGTTCATTGGCTATTCAGAGACACCAAAGGGATATAGACTGTATGATCTTGAATAAAAAAAATTGTGAGCAGGGATGTAGTGTTTCAAGAAGGCAGATTCCCTTTCAAGGATACATGACTTGAAGCAGATGATATGTTCCTTCAACAATCCATTTCAGTGGAGGAACACATTCCTAACTCACAATCTATACCCGTTATGCCTCAAGAAGACATTGTTTTACATATGAATCAGGATAACATTAATTCACGTGCAGGTGAATCTGAAGAAGTAAAATCTGGAGGAGTTGAAACAATCTTTCCAACTTTGGAGAAGCTGAACTTACCAGACACTCAGAGTTCACCACCAGATGAAGTTTCCGAAGAGATTTCATTACTTGAGTCACTATCTGCATCAGATGCAACTGACCTACTTACATAACCTGTTGCCAGAGAACCCAGAAGAACAACTCCATCTATATGGATGAAAGACTATGTGACTTCTACAAAGCTATCTGGAAATTGCAGGTTTCCAATCTCAAATTATGTCAAGTATGATCATCTTACTACAACATATCAAGCCTATTTGCAAGCTTTTTCAGTCCTAGTGGAACCTAGATCCTTCAAAGAAATAACACAAGATTCACAGTGGATAAAAGCAATGGAAGAGTAGATACAGGCACTAGAAGACAATCATACATGGGAGGTTGTTGATCTACCCATTGGGAAGCAAGCCATAGGCTCCAAATAGGTTTACAAAATAAAGTACAAAGAAAATGGAGAGGTAGACAGGTTCAAGGCTAGATTGGTGGCTAAAGGTTACACACAGCAAGCTGCATTGGATTACCATGAAACTTTCTCACCTGTGGCTAAAATGGTTACAGTGAGAACATTTATCAGTATTGTTGCTTCCAAGGGCTGGCCTTTGTTTCAAATAGATGTTAACAATGTATTACTACAAGGTGATCTCACTACAGAAGTCTACATGGAACAACCTCTGGTATTTCACAAACAGGGGGAGTATAAAGTATGACGATTGTTGAAATCCCTATATGGTTTGAAACAAGCCTCGAGGCAATGGAACATTAAACTTACAAATGCTCTACTACAAGCTTGATAGTCTCAGAGCTCATATGATCATTCACTCTTCACCAAGAAAAGTGAGAAAAACATTGTGATCATCCTAATGTATGTGGATGATTTGTTGATAATTGGGAATTCTCATAGTATGATTGAAGAGGTCAAGCAGACTCTTTACCATAATTTCAGAGTAAAAGATTTGGGGTAGTTTAGATACTTTCTTGGGATAGAGGTCTTAAGGTCACAAGCAGGGATTGTAATGAACCAAAGGAAATATGCCATGGAGCTCATCTCAGAGACTGGTTTGAGTGGATTCAAGCCAGTTACAACTCTAATGGAACTCAATCATAAGTTGACAACTGTGGACTATGACAACCATGTTGGAAGCACAGGAGATAGAATACTAGAGGATGCTGGAAGCTATCAAAAATTGATAGGAAGATTGCTTTACTTAACCATCACAAGACCAGATATAAGTTTTGATGTGCAAGTGTTAAGTCAATTCATGCAGAATCCTAAGCAATCGCATATGGATGCAGCCTTGAGAGTGGTGAGATGTATCAAGGGATCTCCAGGATTGGGTATTTTACTAAAAAAGGGTGAGACATATAACCTGATAGTATTTTGCGACTCAGATTGGGCAGCTTGCCCTAATACTAGAAGGTCGACCACATGGTATATAGTTAAACTAGGGGATTCCTTGTTGTCCTGGAAATCCATGAAGCAAAAAACAATCAGCAGAAGCAGAATATCAAAGCATGGCAGCAACTATTGCATAAGCAGTATGGATGGTTGGATTGCTGGAGGAATTGGGCAACAATGTGATCAAACCTATACATCTACATTGTGATAGCAAAGCTGCTTTACAAATAGCAGTCAATCCCATATTTCATGAGAGAACCAAGCATATAGAAATTGGCTGTCATTTTATAAGGGAAAGGATCAAGACATAGCTCATTACCACTTGTGAGCACGTGATTTTTGTTTCGCGCGACAATCGCTCCAAAAGAAATAAAAAAAAATAACAATTGGTCCTGCTGTACAATTTTTGAATTTTTACATGGCACTTTGTTAATTATTTATGATTTTTGCCCATTTTATTTTTATTAAAACAAAATATAAAAAATGTATGTGTCATGCGTAATTTGAACCGTAATGTGGTTGTTAAATAGAAAATTAAATAGGCATCTTGGTCCGTGATTTTTGCTTTGTTTGATTTTACCTACTTTAAATATTTTGATACATGTGTGCAAATAATTGTATTAAGTGTTTATGTAATTTTAATTTAATTTACTTGGGTTTTGTTTTAAAAATAAAATAAAAAAATATATAAAAAATATATAATAAAAAAAAGATGCAGAATTGGGTTTAAAATCAGTTGGGCCTATTTTCATTTTTAATTCAAGGCCCAAACTCAAACCCAAAACCCCATGTGTTACCTGGTCCAGTCCAGTTGATACCCAGGGTGTCCAAACGACGCCGTTTTAATCCAGTCTGATCTGGGTCGTTGATCTCAGATTGATCAACGGCCAAGATCACATTTCTCATACCCACGAACAAACCCGACCCGTTCCACCTAGACCAACCCAAACCCCATTTAGATGAAACGACACCGTCTCTTCTAAACCTTCAGATCCAAGCCGTTGATCTTGATTGATCCAACGGCTGAGATCAACCCACCCATCCCATATATAACCTTCCAACCATACCCTGC